CCCAAAAATAGAAATGGAAGGGAAACTTCCAAACTCATTTTATGAGGCCACCATTACCTTGATCCCAAAACCAGACAAAGACCCCATCCAAAAGGAGAATTACAGACCAATATCCTTGATGAACATAGATGCCAAAATTCTCACCAAAATACTAGCCAATAGGATCCAACAGTACATCAAAAGGATTATTCACCACGACCAAGTGGGATTTATCCCTGGGCTGCAAGGTTGGTTCAACATCCGCAAATCAATCAACGTGATACAATACATTAACAAAAGAAAGAACAAGAGTCATATGATCCTCTCAATAGATGCAGAAAAAGCATTTGACAAAGTACAGCATCCTCTCTTGATCAAAACTCTTTAGAGTATAGGGATAGAGGGTACATACCTCAATATCATAAAAGCCATCTATGAAAAACCAACAGCGAATATCATTCTCAATGGGGAAAAACTGAGAGCTTTTCCCCTAAGGTCAGGAACATGGCAGGGATGTCCACTATCACCACTGCTATTCAACAGAGTATTAGAAGTCCTAGTCACAGCAATCAGATAACAAAAAGAAATCAAAGAAATCCAAATTGGCAAAGAGGAAGTCAAACTCTTACTCTTTGCAGATGATATGATACTGTATGTGGAAAACCCAAAAGACTCCACCCCAAAACCGCTAGAACTCATAGAGGAATCCAGTAAAGTGGCAGGATATAAAATCAATGCACAGAAATCAGTGGCATTCCTATACACCAACAAGAGAGATGAAAGAGAAATTAAGGAGTCGATCCCATTCACAATTGCACCCAAAACCATAAGATACCTAGGAATAAATCTAACCAAAGAGGCAAAGGATCTGTACTCAGAAAACTATAAAATACTCATGAAAGAAATTGAGGAAGACACAAAGAAATGGAAAAACGTTCCATGCTCATGGATTAGAAGAACAAATACTGTGAAGATGTCAGTGTTACCTAGAGCAATCTACACATTTAATGCAATCCTTATCAAAATACCATCCACTTTTTTCAAAGAAATGGAACAAATAATCCTAAAATTTGTATGGAACCAGAAAAGACCCCGAATAGCCAGAGGAATGTTGAAAAAGAAAAGCAAAGCCAGTGGCATCACAATTCCGGACTTTAAGCTCTATTACAAAGCTGTCATCATCAAGACTGTATGGTACTGGCACAAAAACAGACACATCGATCAATGGAACAGAATAGAGAGCCCAGAAATGGACCCTCAACTCTATGGTCAACTCATCTTTGACAAAGCAGGCAAGAATGTCCAATGGAAAAAAGACAGTCTCTTCAACAAATGGTGTTGGGAAAATTGGACAGCCACATACAGAAGAATGATACTGGACCATTTCTTTACACCACACACAAAAATAGACTCCAGATGGTTGAAAGACCTAAACGTGAGACAGAAGTCCATCAAAATCCTAAAGGAGAACACAGGCAGCAACCTCTTTGACCTCAGCCGCAGCAAATTCTTCCTAGAAACATCACCAAAGGCAAGGGAAGCAAGGGCAAAAATGAACTATTGGGACTTCATCAAGATAAAAAGCTTTTGCACAGCAAAAGAAGCAGTCAACAAAACCAAAAGATAACCGACAGAACGGGAGAAGATATTTGCAAATGACGGATCAGATAAAGGGCTAGTATCCAAAATCTATACAGAACTTATCAAACTCAACACCCAAAGAATAAATGATCCAATCAAGAAATGGGCAAAAGACATGAACAGACATTTTTCCAAAGAAGACATCCAAATGGCCCACAGACACATGAAAAAGTGCTCAACATCGCTTGGCATCAGGGAAATCCAAATGAAAACGTCCATGAGATACCACCTCACACCCGTCAGAATGGCCAAAATTAACAAGTCAGGAAACGACAGATGTTGGCGGGGATGCGGAGAAAGGGGAACCCTCCTACACTGTTGGTGGGAATGCAAGCTGGTGCAGCCACTCTGGAAAACAGTATGGAGGTTCCTCAAAAAGTTGAAAATAGAGCTGCTCTATGACCCAGCAATTGCACTACTGGGTATTTACCCCAGAGATACAAATGTAGTGATCCGAAGGGGTACATGCACCCCAATGTTTATAGCAGCAATGTCCACAATAGCCAAAATATGGAAAGAGCCAAGATGTCCATTGACAGATGAATGGATAAAGAAGAACTGGTATATATATACAATGGAATATCATGCAGCCATCAAAAGGAATGAAATCTTGCCATTTGCAAGGATGTGGATGGAACTGGAGGGTATTATGCTGAACGAAATAAGTCAATCAGAGAAAGACATGTATCATATGACCTCACTGATATGAGGCATTCTTGATCTCAGGAAACAAACTGAGGGTTGCTGGAGTGGTGGGGAGTGGGAGGGATGGGGTGGCTGGGTGATAGACTTGGGGAGGGTATGTGCTATGGTGAGTGTTGTGAATTGTGCAAGACTGTTGAATCACAGACCTATACCTCTGAAATAAATAATACATTATCTGTTAAAAAGAAAAGGAAGATAGCAGGAAGGGAGAAATGAAGGGAGGGAAATCGGTGGGGGACACGAACCATGAGAGACGATGGACTCTGAGAAACAAACTGAGGGTTCTAGAGGGGAGGGGGTGGGGGGATGGGTTAGCCTGGTGATGGGTATTAAAGAGGGCACGTATTGACGGGGCGCCTGGGTGGCTCAGTCAGTGAGCGTCTGCCTTCTGCTCAGGTCATGATCCCAGGGTCCTGGGATCGAGCCCCGCATCGGGCTCCCTGCTCGGCGGGAAGCCTGTTTCTCCCTCTCCCGCTCCCCCTGCTTGTGTTCCCTCTCTCTCTATCAAATAAATAAAATCTTAAAAAAAAAAAGAGGGCACGTACTGAATGGAGCACTGGGTGTTATACGCAAACAATGAATCATGGAACACTACATCAAAAACTAATGATGTAATGTATGGTGATTAACATAGCATAATAAAAAAAACCAATTTGTACTGGGACAAATTTTGCAACCTAAAAAATAAAAATAAAAAAAGACATTTAATCAATCAAAAGCTATGAAAAGAAGGGGGAGGGAACAGGATTGGGCAGAAGAAAACAATTGCATTGCAATGAAAACCCTATATAAACTTAGACAACCCAGCATGGTAAGCCCCAGAGCAAATACTGTCGTCCCACCTAGAGCTGAAATGACCCACCTTTACACCCTCATTGAGCCACTGGATGCAGTGTTCCCCAGGAAGTGTGTGACTTTGGTCAAGGCAAGTGTCTGGAGCTGAAACAGCAAGTTCTTCCTTGAAGGGGAATCTGGGCAGTGGAACTTCATGTCTACTGCCATCATTGGGGATGGGAAATACAGATAACAACATAGGGGAAAAGTAATGACTTTACTTTTGAAGATATCACCTGAAATCCCTGAAGGAATTTCTATAGAAATATAGAAATAGAGCACATGATTCACTAATAATTTCGGCACACTGAAAATAGAATCCAAAGGTATTTAGTATTAATTTTAGCTAGAAAATATCTGCTTTTTGTTTTCACACACACACATGCACACATACACAAACACACACATATACACACATACCCTCTTTTAACTTAACGTAGATAAAGGCAAAAAATAAGATCATAGGGTTATGAGTATGGGGAACATAATATATTTATGCTTTTTAAATTTCTATACTATTGAGTTTATTCATATTATCATCTCTTATGGTTCTTTCTACATTTTAACGTTTTCCTATTAATTTGTGTTTTTGTAAAAACAGAGTCTCTAATCCAAAATACACTAATAAGATGCACCTTGAGGGGCACCTGGGTGGCTCAGTTGGTTAAGCGGGTGCCTTCGGCTCAGGTCATGATCTCAGGCTCCTGGGATTGAGCCCTGAGTCAGGCTCCCTGCTGAGTGGGGAGTCTGTTTCTCCCTCTTCCCCTGCTTGTGCTCTCTCTCTCTGTCAAATAAATAAAGAAAATTTGAAGCTTTAAAATGTTACAAAAGTTTAAATATGTTGATTTACTTCTTAATATTTTCATGTAATTTTGTACTTTCATATAGAGCGACATTGCTTTCCACATTTTCAAGCAGAATATTTTGAGGCTTCCTAAGATCACACTTGCTCTCCTCATGAAATTAAATGAATTACTTATTTCTTCTAAATCTCAGTTGCCTCATCTGTAAAATGGAGATATGATGGCCCTTACTTCATAGGATCTCTCTGAGCATTAAATGATATAGTATGTGCCGAAGGCTTATGGCAGTGGCTGGCGCATAGAAACAAGTCAGTACTGTAACTGAGTATATGGTGATACTGGTAACCATCCCTTCATTAGCAAAAATCAGCTATTGCCATAGGATACCCTTTTGCAAAAGGTATTTGTTGAAAATTAATGATTTAGAAATGGAAACCAAAATTCTAATCCCGGTGTTCAGTTTCCAGGACTTTTCTTCCTCCGTCACCAGGTGGCCCCACATCCATTGCCTTCTCAGCTCTGCACTCATTGAAAATGAATCAGGTTGTCAAGAAGACACTGCAGCAAAAATCCGTGGTGATAATAATCCAAAGTGCGGATGGTCCATTTAATAATCAGTTGTGCATTTGGCTAGAAGAGAGAAAAGCAAGCTTCATAGGTTTTAAATGGGCAAGAAAGCTGTTAAATGTGTCTAGACATTTTTCTTCAAGAGTAGTCTCAATAAAAGAGGTAAATAAATCATCCTATTAATGTTGAACCCTTCAAATAGTACATGGCCTAGCATGCTGGGCTGAGAAAAATCTCTAATCTTTACCTTTTCTCTCTTTTATAAATTGGTTAGTTAACAACTACTCATTTCTTGGCTTTACCTGAGTACTTACAAAACAGTTTCAGAACCCTTTCCTCCTCTTCTTCTACCTGGAACACAGAGCAAAACTACAGATTGTACAGTCTCAAAGATTCTGTCAGGAAAGATCCTGTCAGATTAAAGGTTTTGTCATATCATGACTGATTCATTATTTCTTTCTCTTATCTCAGAATCTTTGAAGTCTTCAAATGGAGCCTCAAAAATTTCCTTTCAGACAATGAAAACTTCTTTCCAGGCTAGGTAACGTAATGCTAGAAGAAATGCTTGGCCATTGATTGCAACTGATTCATAATATTTGAATAGATGGTAAAAGAATTAATATGGTGGAACTGAGCATATAAGAACCACCATATGGTAATATTAGCAGTTAAGAGTCTTAGTGCTAGAGCTGGAGGTTTGATATTCAAGTCGAACGTAATAGCAGTGTAGCTTGGGTAAGTCACTTCCAGGTAATCATACTTCCTTCATGAAGGTTTTTGTAAGAATTAAATGAGATCATATGTAAAGTGCTGAACATTTTGCCTGGAACATGGTAAGGACGTAATAGTGCCTTTCATTACCATCACTGCTTTGACTCACAGTAGCATGGGATGATGACAATAATTAATTTCGTCTTCAATGGAAAGATCTAAACATATCTGTGCTGATTTTTCTCAGCTGATTCTGAATTGAGCCTCAAAAATCAGCTCTAAATGGTGGGATATCTTCCATGTTTTTTTAATTAATTAATTAATTAATTATTTTAATTTTTTATTGTTATATTAATCACCATACATTACATCATTAGTTTTTGATATAGTGTTCCATGATTCATTGTTTGTGCATAACACCCAGTGCTCCACGCAGAACGTGCCCTCTTTAATACCCATCACCAGGCTAACCCATCCCCCCAACCCCCTCCCCTCTAGAACCCTCAGTTTGTTTTTCAGAGTCCATCGTCTCTCTCCATGTTTGTTTTTGCAGAGGGAGAGGTGGTCAGAAGGGTGGACAACCCAACATTGCTTGAAAGAGTGCAGCCTGGAATTCAACTGGATGGTCTGAGTATATGTATATTTTTCCCTTATTTATTTCTTTATTAATTTAATTTAATTTTTAGCATATTTATCTGAGTATATAGTTAGCCAAAATATAGATAAGTACATTTTGAGTGAATTCACAGACTTTTCAAAGTAAATGAGAGAGACTTGTTTTGATTGTGTCCACCCATATTTGATTTTCCACACATATTTGATTTTTATCTCAGGAAGAGATGTAGAAATAAGACAGAATTGTAGAACTTGGGACTCCTGGGTGGCTCAGTTGGTTAAGTGTCTGCCTTCGGCTCAGGTCATGATCCCAGGTTCCTGGGATCGAGTCCCACATCGAGCTCCTTGCTGAGCAAGGAGCCTGCTTCTCCCTCTGCCTGCCTCTGTCTCTTTCTCTCTGATAAATAAATAAAATCTTTAAAAAAAGAATTGTAGAACTTACTCTAGCAAAGTCTTTCATGCATCTGTCTTGTAAGTAAGAAGGTAAAATTAGACAGTCTAATTGTAGTGTGGATAAATCACAATTCATAATCATATGTGACTCATCTTATGCCCAAAATTTCCAGCTTAATGTTTTACGTGAATTGTTAAGATCCTATTGTCAGTTAATCTGTGGCAAGGACTTTTGCAGCTAGCCATCAGGACAGCAGTAACACTAGATGGAGGGCATATTTTGATATTCTTCCCACATTTTAGAGAAGGCTGTTCAGTGCTTATTTTCGAAGATAAATGTGTAATTAAGATAGTCACTTTCATCAAGTAGATATATGCCTAAAACAATTCAAGATGGATTCAAATGCAATATTTATTATAGATGATATTTTGAAACTTACCAAAAACTAAACTGCACTTTTAAAAACTAAAAATTTGAACAAAGTTTAGCATAAATCGTCACTTATATACCTATAGAGTTAATAATATATGCATATATGCCAGGCAATATGTTGCAGATTTTTATATATTATTTCATTGAATTTTAAAGACAATTTTATGAGGGTTATTATCCCCATTTGACATATGAGAAAACCAAAGGCTTAGTATACTAGATCAGTGGATTTCAAAATGTTGACTACGTACTATTTTATTATGTATGTAATAATTGATACATGCAAAACAAAAACACCAAAGATATAAAGTTTAAAGCATAACGAAAACCATAATCAAAACACACACTCATGATTGCGCACCATGAGCATCAGATCTAGAGCTTTATCGCTATTATCAAATATATCTACGTTCCTCCACTATTCTGTTCCTCTGCTTCCAGAGTTAATTACAATCCTAAACTTTGCTTTATTCTTACAGTTAGAAGTGTAGCTATTTTCCAAAGCCAGTCTAGACATTAATTTATTTGTAACATTGTTTTAGTTTGTATAAAAGTGCATCAGTGTTTCATCAATCATTGACTTAATATAAACACAGTAAGCATAATTCTTGGATTTTGTACTTCCTGCTCAGAATTCATCAATTGGTTTTGTGGTTTTCATTTAGTATTTACACATGATTTCTTGACAATCATTTACTTTGTACTGATTCAAAGGGGAAAATTCAATTTAGCTTACACTTTAAAATAATTTTCTTGAAACTCCAAAATTTGAGATTGAACAGGAGTAACATCAAATATGCCTTCTCGTAATTTTTTTAACCAGTTTATTATGTTGTCAACGGGAATATTGAAAATACAATAAACCACACACAAAAAATCCTGCTGCTTATATCTCAGAACTAGCAGATTGCAGAAAACTCTTTAGCTTTTACTTTGGCTACTCTTGCAATATACCTGCAACTTGCCAGGCACTGGCCACAGGATTTCTGCAGAGTATATCATTCCATATGTTTTTATCTGAACTGTTGATAGAATGGATAAAATGGCCCTTCCTTCCTTTTCCAGATCAAATATTTATCAAACACCCAATAAGTGCTGGAAACTATACCCAAATCTGGGGCTTCAAATGTGAAAGGATATGATCCATGATGACAGGGGACCACGCAGTATTAAGAGGACACGAGTGAATGTGCTTATTGTTAAATTAATTTAATAAAACATTTACGACAACAAATGGAATCCAGAATGTAATGAAATCTTAAGAAGTTTATGTGGGTGCTGTGGGTATCTGGAATTCTGGATGAAGTGTTGTGACACGCGGCTGCTGCCTTGAGCTGATGTCAGTGGAGGGGTAAATGCTGGGCATCTCCTCTCCCATGTCATCCTTTATGGTCAACAAGATCCACACAGCGAATCACACAGGTGCGCGGCACTTTAAGGAAGGCTTGAGAGCAGCTCAAGAAAAAGTATGGAGGGAGACTGGAATAACTGCTTACACGAGAAAGTAAGGAAGTGCTTAAAAACAGAGAGGGATTTGTTGAAAGGACAAAGGAGCCAGCTTGAGGAAGTTGTCCTCATGGGGAAGGGAAGGTGTGAGCAAAGATCTCAAGGAAGTGAGGGATTTAGCCAAGCAGATACCTGGTGGAAGAGAATTCCAGGCAGAATAGATAGTCGTACAATGGAAGTGTGGTGGCTAGTTGTTTAAGGAAGAGTAAGGAGCCCTGTGTGGCTGGAGTGAGTGAGCAAGGGGGAAAACACCGTCAAAAATGTGACCAGAGAAAGAACAAAAGACACAGCATGCAAAACCTCCTGACTCATTTCCAGGAACTTGGACATTAACTCTGAGAGAGGGGAGCTAATGATGGATTTAAACAGAGGAGAGTCCTGCTCTGGTATATTTTGAAAGAACCTTACTGGGAGTGCACCAAGAGTAGACATGCGTGAGCTTAAGGATACCAGTGAAGAGGTCACTGCAGTCATTCAAGTGGCTGAAGATGGTGGCCCAGGCCAGGAGGGTAACAGTGCACATGATTAAACTTTGAAAGTGAACCAAGATACCCTGTTGTAGTGGATTTGGAATGTGTGAGGGGAAAAAGAACAGCTGAGGATAACTTCCAAGTTGGTTTATAATAATATTCCAGGTGACAGATATATGGGTAGGGACAAGGCAGCTAGAGTGACCGGCAGGGATCCAAAAGCTATTGAGGGGTAAGATATATAAGAATTGGTGGTTAAATCATCCTTTTAACTTTAAAGGTATGTACTTCTCAGTGTAGGACATATTTTTTTTTGCAGCCTTTTACTTTATATCAAAAGCCTCCTTGTAATTAATCCCATCATGCAGATAACTCTGTACTAGCTGTCTGATTTCTCTTCCTCTGAGCCATCAATTTTTTCTGTGCATTTCTTGATATATTGCATGATAATTATAAAAGATAAATATATATAAATCCCAATTTTTAATATACTGGTAATTAAAAATGAAGGGGAAACTGGCTCAAACACTCATGTGTGTGAGGGGGTGTAGAAACGTATACACCTCTCTTTCACAACTTTTTAAAGTGAACCCCTTTCTTTTTCCAGTTGGGGACCTCGCACGACTGGGAAAACCTGGATGAATCAATAGGGAGAAGTTTGGTCATCTTTGTACTAACCTGGACATATTATTGTGAATTCACGAGGCAAAACTGCAAAGTCACAATTGTTAAACAATTTTTCTTTTTCTCACGTTTCTACCTTCACAAGCCTTTTGGTGTCCCCCCCACCCCAATTCCTTGCATCTACAGCTTTGTCACTGCTCTCTGGCAGACCAGATCCTGCCCTCCAGAGCCTCTACCTCTCCTTCCAAATAAAAATTACCCCCACTCCCCATGCCCTATCTCCACCCCCACCTCAGTGCTGTAGATAAAATAAGTCAGTGATCTGGTTATAGTGCTTGATGCTATGATGAATGAATAATCCAAAGCTAAGAGTAATGAACTTTAAAAAGAATTCGCAGAACTAAAAGCCATCTCTAAAAAGAAAATACATGGGGGTTATATTTCATTGCAGACTACCTCGTAACAACACTCTAACAACGCACAAACATGAGCCCTCCCCCCTGTACACACACTCATGCCAAAAGTAAAATGGCAAAAAATGAGCTTTGCAGCCACATGCAACCCTTTCTTCCCATACTCCTCCTCTCCCTCCCAACTTATGTTTTCATACCTAGAGCCTTAGTGTAGGATGGGTTTATATGTCCGTTTATGTGTGCTCCTAGGTGCCATTTTTCTCTTCTGGGAGTGTGCTGTAGATTCGGGCATTGTTTTATCCAAAGCAATGGTATCCTTGGTATTAATAGGCAACATAGTATTGATTTGATCAGAATGAGGTTCAGAAAGAGATGTGAAGAAGTAGTATATCATTCAGGACTTTAAGTGATTTTGTTTTTCTCACTTATAGTTTAATTTCCCTGTATCAGAATTCAATTATTAAATGAAAGTATGAAATATCATTCTTTCTTCTTTTGTAGTTGAAGCATATTTCCAACTATATCAAAATAAAAGTAACTAATAGAAATACTTTAGATTACAAACACAAGAAAGTACAGTGGAATTAGACCCATTCCTGATTTCAGTATCCAAGAGGCTCCCAGGTCTATTAACTCCGTTCCTTTTAGTCTGGAATACAGTTGAGCGCTGGCTGGCTCTGTTACAAATGGAAAGACTTGACTGGGGAGGGTAGGAGGTTTCTCAACATATTGAGTAGAATCATAAAAAGGAATCAAGGGTGTGTCACTCAGTCCAGTGTTTTCTAAAGGCAGACCACACTTAGATGTTTAAATTTGTAGCCGAAAATCTCCAAACCTCACAACTAACTGCAGGGACTGTGAAGAAGTCAGGTCCTTTGGGGAAAATGTGTAAGTGCTGTAAACTCTTGAGCAAGTGTTAAACAGATCCCAGAATTGCAGGCTCTCTGTTACAGTACTTTGTGTACTATAACAGAGAACTAAGGCAAGGGAGGGGCAGAGCACCAGAAGTTACACTACCACCGTCCTGAGATTAAACTAAGATGAGTGTTTTGGGATAACTTGGTATTTCCAAAAAGGGAAGACAACATAGGAACAAAGAAATGCTAACCAAAGACCATTAAAGTGAGCAACTAAATAATAAATAACTGGTTTTATAATCTATAGAATACTTAGAAAGACATGTATTTCTGTAGACAAAAAAAAAAAATTTGCACACTCCCTCTTTGAAAGAATTGCTATAATTTTCACTCTCCTAAAATCAGAACCTGAGACAAGGCCTTGGATGCTGGCAGTTCATCTGTGAACTGCTGATCCAGGAGCCCAGAACCAGTTGTGAGAGCTTAGTTATGAGTTCCAGAAGGACAAAATCTGCAAGTGGGTAGCTGGGTCTGGTGGTGGGAGAGGTCAGAACTCCTTCTCCCTATTTCCCCGATCCATGGATGTATCTACCAGATCCTGAAGACCAGTGCCCCAACCTTGGAGTGTCACCTCCGAGCTGGCCCATTCCAGCTAGAAAATAACGTTAGTACGTACCAAAATCTGTCTACGGTGTCACAGAGGAGAATCACCTGGTCTGGGTTTTTATCCATTTCACTATAAATTGTTACTGAATTGATATTTTAATTGAAAGTGTAGCCAGTATTAAATGATGTGCATTCCCTCCAACATTACCCACATTTCCTTAGTGCTCCAGAGACCCCAGGACTTACCACTCTCTGCCTGTGTGTTCGGGGGTGGGGGGTGGATGCCTCAGGTAACGAGTAGAGGGCAGAGGTTCTGCAGTTCCCAACACTTCTGTCTTCATGTGGAGTCCTTCTTTGAGGAAATTCTATTTTCCTTGACTCTTATATTACCTGATTTCATCTGACCATGGTGCCAAGTGAACTCTGTCTTTACAAAATCCGTGCCAACCTCCCAGAAGTCTCGACAGGTGATCTGATTACCTCCAGGCTAAGGTTGAGACTACATATTAAAACTCCCGGGAAGCCATAGGTCACCCTTGGCTTTAGGAAGCTCAAGTTTATCCCTGAAGTTCCTAATGGATATTTTCCAAAAGAGGTCTTTGCTGAATATATGACTTCTCTTTAAGCTTCTGTCTGACTGAGATCCTACACCATGTTTTTATTCATTGTGTAGATATAGGCATCTCCCCTTCCAGAGTAGGTCATTAACCTACCTCTGTATTACCTCTTGGTATTTCATTTACTAGTAGTTGGATATGTATCTTTATTTTATCTATTTTTTAATTTTTTAACTTTTTAAAAGATTATTTGTTTATTTGAGAGAGAGAGAGCTAGAGAGAGAGAGAGCAAGAGCAGGGCAAGGGGTAGAGAGAGAGAGGGAGAAGCAGATTTTCCCGTCCAATGCGGGCCTTGGTCCCAGGACTCTGGGATCATGACCTGAGCCAAAGGCCAACACTTAATCGACTGAGCCACCCAGGCACCCTACTTGTTTGTTTTTTAAGTAGGCTCCATGCCCAGTGTGTAGACCAAAATGAGGCTTGAACCCACGACCCTGAGAGCAAGACCTGAGCTGAGATCAAGTGTCAGATGCTTAACCAACTGAGCCATCCAGGCGCCCCTGTATATGTATCTTTAGCCTGCCAGGAAACGGGTATTTATATTCAAGATGACAGTCTTTGTTTATATATTTATGTCCTTATCAGTCAGCTTGACTTGTCTAGAGTCATATCTTTTAAATCATAATCCTTTGCTAAAATGTGCAGGACTTTCTACATTCCGTTATCTCTGACCATTCAATTTAGAATGTGAAATTGTTGGCCTATAGTGAATAATATTCCTACCAGTATGGCATCTTCTTTGAAGTTCTCAGGAGAGTGATGCATTAATTATGGAGCATTCTAATATGAAATATGTAACATATTTTATAAAGCCTCATTCTCCCTGCCCTCAATCTTTCTGTTATAGTACCAGAATCAACATTTGACTAACATTTATTTCAAAGTTATGTAAGATCCCTAAAACAGTTTAGCAAAAAGAAAGTGATATAAACATTGAGAGTGCTTGCAAATAACAATCAAAACCACTCTCTAAAGGAAAGGTTGCATGTTTATTTCAAAGGAGATGTTTCCTGGCAACCATTAGCATGGGTAGCTGCATCTTTAAACGAGGGTCACTTTGTATTACTGAAGAGCAAAAGTCTAAAGGAAATTAAAGGCTTTTCTAACAACTGGAATATAAAAACACATACCTGAACAACCACAGCATTTCCATAAGCCAGTAAAATGATGACTCAGAAAGTTAAATACCCAAGCCACGAACCACTTACATATGAATGTTTTAAAGTTATGTAGAAGTCCTATTTTTTAAATATGCATATAAACAGAAAAGAAATATATTGTGCCAAAGTCAATTAATCACTCACTCTTCCCTGAAATGTCTCAAGGAAATTCACTCATTTCAAAAAATACTATGCTGAAGGACATTGTAGAGTTCCAACAGATGTATTACGATGACAGTAAACATTCTTTGCCATTTGCTTTCTTTGATGTCCTAATGCAGAAGAGAATTTCAGATCAGACTTTTTGCTAGTACACATTCTAATGCATTGCTCGCAGTTCAGTGATGTGCAAATCCCAGTGTGTTTGACTTCAGCCATATCTGTGGCCACTTAACAAAATTCCTCAGACTGTGGCCTGGTCCCTGGTTATTTCTATCATCTAATGGCTCATTCAAATTTCTGCACATTTGAATTGATTAATTGTGTAGACATAGGCTTTGAGCAAAACCAGATGAATGGAATGAACTATGTTGTGGTTGATTCGGTGGGCTCATGAAAACAGCAGAAAGTGCCCAAAACACAATAAGCAGCAGAGATCCAAAGTAGCAGTATAATCCGTGACACCTAGCATATGATCTCTATTGAATTGTTATTTAATGCAAACTGATGAATGATCTTGATCATTACTATAAAACTTTGATCTCAAAATATGTATTGTAGATGGAGAAGATACAACTCGTCTGTTCCTTTGTAGCCATTGAAATCTTAAATGAAATGAATTTCTGCACTGAGGGTAGAACTAATTTCCATTCTTGGGGGCAGAGCGTTTCTCTTTAAAATATATTTATTGTAAAAACTAATGATGCAATATATGGTGATTAACATAACAATAAAAAAATGAAAAATATATATAGTTATTGTATATTTTCCATAAGCCAAGCAAACCTGGGAATACAAAGATCTGTCATTGAAGAGAGAGTTCAGAGTCTAGAGTGAAAGAGAAGTTTTATAATATAGATAGATATTAACAGAGTTTGAAGGAGCTCCGAAGTATCTCCAAACTACATTTTATATTCAGTAGCCTCCTTATATATAAAACAGAGAGAATTAATATTGTACAAATTAATATTGAATAGATTAATAATATTCCCCAACTCTTAAGGCTGTTGTGAGGATTAACTGCATTATTATAGATAAAATGCTCAAACTAGTGCTTGACACATATTAAATGTTAGCAATTATTAGCACTTATCATCGTGGAAACTCCACACTTCCCTTTCTTCTTTAGTTTCTGTAGTAGTAGCTGCCACTTGATGGATGCTTACTGTATACCACATATCTTTTTTTTTTATAAGATTTTGTTTATTTATTTGAGAGAGAGCACAAGAGGGGGAGAGGCAGAGGGAGAAGCAGACTCCCCGATGAGCAGGGAACCTGATGTGGGACTCGATCCCAGGACCCCGGGATTACTACCTGAGCCAAAGGCAGACCGATCAAATGATTGAGACACCCAGGTGCCCCCATGTCACATATCTTACTCCAAGTAATATTTCATTAGTCCTTCCTATAACTCTCTGAAGTAACTATTTATAATCCTAATTTATAGGTGGGAAATTTAGCATTCAGAAACTCAGTAATTTGCTTGATTTCAACTGTAGTAAATCCAGAGCTAAAATTTGATTCTATGCTTTTCTTCTAAACCACACCATAGAAAAAGGTCATTAATGGAGAACTGGGATTATACTGCTCAGGTCTCCAGGAGTTTTACTCTCTGGAGGTTTGGCCTTTTCCATCCACCCTGTGCTCCCTTTATGCTGAGATAGAGACCTACTATAACTTGCAGGGTACTGGAAAAAATATAGAAAGTGAATTCAATGAATTGTTCTAATATTTCCTCCCTTTCTACAGCAGACCTGTAGAGAAGATGGAGTTTGTGGCCCCCAGGGAATGAAGAAAAAGTATTTGAACATTAGACGTCCCATATTCAATGGTTTGTAGAAAAACCTCTACTTCTAGAAGAAAAATTTCTATAATGTCCCATCCATTTCCAAAGCACTGAGCAATCAGGAGAGGACTGAACAAATGTGATCCATGAGGAACAGGGATAAACAAGGTTACAGGGAAGAGGCACACTTTGCTTGGGCAGAGCCCACACTCACTGCCCTGACCAGCCTACCCTCTGTCAGGCTCCTCCCTAGGTCTTAAGCAAACTAAGTGTGATTAAAAGGGTTTTTTTTTTTAACAATACTCAACTGTCCTTTTATATTATCAGCTGTGTTTATTTTTATTGTTTTAAAACTTGAATATGTATGCTTGAGTAGGTGTGTGTACACACACACACACACACACAAACATGCGCGTGCATTTTCTTTTTTTTTTTAAGGTAATGAATGGCTAAAATTAATCAAACAGTTAACTATTTGCCAGGACTGTTCATGCAGTACATTATTTCATTTAATTAATTTCATTTAATAATTTACATTATTTCATTATTCTTTAAGGCAGCCTTATGAGGTAGTTATTATTATTATCCCATTTTCACAGATGAGGAAACTAAGGCCCCAAGAATTTTAAGTAAAATGCCCAAGATCACAAAGCTAGTAGAATATATGAGGTTGTAGGGCTAGTAAAAATGATAAGCCAGCTAGCTAAATGCAGATCTTGAGTTTTTTGCATTATGTCAGACTGCTTCCCATGGTCTTTAGAACATTTGGAAAATAATTAAAAAATAAATGTCACTCATAATTACATTGTTAAGAGATAATCATTCTATATTTTCATGCTTTTGTGCACGTACAGAATATTATGCCAGTGCAAAGTTTTCATTTTTTTCATTTGATACATCATAATGCATAATTTAAAATATTTTAAGTTGTTTTAATATTATGACTTCATTTTCTATGGTATATATTATTTATTGAATAATTTCCCTGTTTTTAAGAATTTACATAGCTCTCATTTTTAACCATAAAAGTATTACATTGATATCTTTGTGTTTAATGTTTTTTATTCAATTATTTAAGATTGTCTTTTGGGATATATTCCTAGAAGTATAATTCCTGTGTCAAAGACATGATTTTGTTTTAAAGCTCCAGATTCCTTTGAATGAAAATTTATTTAGAACTTCTCATGAGACTTTCTATTCTTTCTACCTGTTGACCCCTTATTTGCTTCTCTGTAGTGGCTCTTACCCCCGAAGAATTCCAAATTTCTAGTCATTTAGAAGACAAGTTGTTTTCCAAATGGGAGCCAGCTATTTACTTCAACTGATATTAGTTTAACAAGTTAAAGTAGTGTTTGCAACTCTTATACTGTGTTTCCCAAGTCAACCATTTTACTCCTTAAACATATGCTTTGGAGTCTTTAGTGCTTTCCCGAAAGTTCTGGAGAATTCTGTCTGTGCTGCCACTTACTCTAGAAAGACCAGGTCTTCTTGGAGTCTTTCCAGTCTCTCTCCTCCAGGCTTTCCTATTCTCTCTGCCTCACAATAGTATTCAAAGGTGGCTTCTACTTCCTCATTTCAGCTAGATCTATTGCTTTCCTAGTTTCTCTGGTGGCTGGAAGCTTCTTGTACTTTGTTTTTTTTGAGCCGCCATATTTTGCATTTGAGGACAGCTGCATGTCCTGCCAAGTCCCCTGACTTCCTCTGGGTGCTGGGTTCTGCAGCCAGGCTTTTTCGTGGGATTGTGTAACATATCATCTCTAGGCAGGAGGGAAAGAGATAATCTTCCAATCCACAAAATGTCTCTCAGGCATGACCTAAGAAGAATTCAAGATCCTGGACATAAGTAGAACTATGATTATTCTCAACACTGTAAGTCAACACTTATCAAATTCACTATGAAGAAATAAGCTCCACTTTTCATTTGCACACTTGGGGCTAAATCCACACTGCAAACAAAAGATAGGTTAACACAAGTTAGTTGGCTGGTAAGCAAATCTCACCTTTTTAATGAAAGGATCAAGAAGTGCTCTGTGAGTTGCAAAGATGACTATGGGAGCCTACAGAAGACCAGGAAAGACTAACTCTATCGTCCATGACAGCTTTCTATTTCGATGAGTACTGGTATTGGCCTTATAGAAATAGAGATCAGATGAGTAGAGTCCCGTGTATTTAGCTGAGGACTAGGAGATAGAAATCAGAAAATTTGGGGTCTAATCCCAGCCATGACAATGACTTATACTTGGATAAGTCATTTTGACTTTTGTTTCTCAACAGTAAGTACTAATTTGAGGGACATGACATTACAATATCAAGTGTGAACTGTGAGGAAAATTACAAAACAATCCATCTAGTCAATTCTTCATCTAGAGAAGAAGTAGGACTAGACAGAAGTCACTGCTCAACTTGCAGCCCATGCCATCTTTTAAGTGTGTGTGCTGCAACATTCATATTTACAAGGTTTTTTGAAATAATAAAATAATACTTAACTAGAATATAATAATTGAAACAATTCTGGGGCTCCTAGGTGGCTCAGATGGTTAAGCATCTGCCTTTGGCTCAGGTCATGATCCCAGGGTCCTGGGATTGAGCCCCACATCGGGATCCCTGCTTGGGGGGAGCCTGCTTCCCCCTCACCCTCCTACTGTTCCCCCAGCTTGTGCTCTCTTGCTCTCTCTGTCAAATAAATAAATAAAATCTTAAAAAAAAAAAACAACTGAAACCATTCTAAAATGTTGGCCAAGTGGTAGTGGCAGTGACGGAAATCAAAGCCTTGTAAAAATAAGACCTGGCAACTTTGCATCTCTTAGATTTTTTCATTTCCCAAAACTGGCTCATTCTGTCAACTACATGTTGACGGATTTTTAGAAACATGGACAAAAGAGAGTCCATCTTTTTCAAAACACTTTTTAATATTAACTCTCATGGTTAATGAAATTTCTTAGCAAAGAAAGTATCTTAGCTACGCAAGGGGTCAGGGGACACAGCAGAGAGGTGATGGAATATTTTAGGGACAGACAGCCAAGGGCTTGGAAGACTTAAAGACCACTGAAACAAATATGGCTTGATTGTCTAGGACCAAACACTCGATCTTAGATAAGAAAAACTAGACCCGGGGTGCCTGGGTAGCTCAGTCGGTTAAGCGTCTGACTCTTGATTTCAGCTTGAGTCATGGTCTCAGGGTAGTGGGATCGAGCCCTGAGTCCAGCTCTGCACTGAGCATGGAGCCTGCTTAGGATTCTCTCTCCCTCTGCCCCTCCCTTGCCCCCCACTCACTCATGCTCTCTCTTGAAAAAAAAAAAAAGGTGAGAGAAAAATAATTATAACTTCCTCATAGTGTGGTTGGTTAACTTCCTCATAGGGTGGTTGGTTGTGAGCATGATGTAAGGCAAGGTAAGTGAAAGTTCTTTTTACATTGCTATATCCTACAGAATGTTAGTTACTAATGTACTCTAGTGCTCTATGGTTCAGCTACTCTCTGGATTAAATCTCCCTTTATAAATGATGTGGAAAACAAATGCTATTTAAAATGTTTCTATAGAGGAAAGTGCATAGTGTTTCAAGATAGGCTACAGTAGGTCAGGAACTAACTCCCCCAGCTGTGGTGTTGACAGCCAGCCATCTGGCCAACAGAAATATTTCTTCACTGTCTCCCCTCCCTTTCCCAGCTGTAGGGATCGCTGCTTCCCAGAAAGCCATGTCTGTCCGTTCTCCCTCTTTGGTGGGCCCTTGTCCTGTGTTTACCATATTATCCTCCCTATTTTCATAACTTCCATTAAAACTGTCATGAAAGTTTCATAACTCTCTATTCTCTAGTTATTTCATGCATATGAGATTTGTTTCTTCCATTATTCTAAACCACTGGGAGGCCAAGACCCACCTTCGCATCTGTAGATCAGAGTATCCAGCACAAGTCTAGGCACAAAACTTGTGCTTGGCAAATGCTAAGTAAAGAACAGGAGGGCATTTTCCAGGTGATGAGAATGCTATCATAAAGCCAGAAGGTGAAATGGCCTTGTTGCCTTTAATGGGTATAATCTAGATTATAATGAGCACATTGAGAAAGAAGGAAAGGCAGAAAGATGCAAACCACAGGGATGAGTGGAAAGAACTAAATAAAAGATCTATGAGCAATAGTCAATCCTGAAGGCACTTGAGAAGCAAGTCACTTGATGACAATTTTTAGTAATAGCAATTTCTCAAGAAACAAAGAAGTGCCATTTGTCAGAAGCTTATAAAAAGAAAATCTTTTAAAAAATGGGAAAAGAAGATGAAATTGAGAAGGAAAATCATTTTCAGGAGAGTGACTGTAGGTTAATGGCATACTGAATAAATCTATAGAATTAGATAGTTCAGGCTGCCAGGTAGGTGTCTAACTCATCTTGTCATTTGCACCACCTACAATAGATAGATAATCACCTCTGCCTTCCTTATTGTGAATTGCATTGAATTTGCTAAAATATTAAATCATGATTATAAAAATCAAATATTTTTAACACATACTATATGCCAAATCCATTTCACCTGCTTTAAATAGATTATTATATTTAATTATTGCATTAATGTAATGATTTAGGAGCTACTGGGGAAACCAACTCAGAAGTGTTAAATAACTTGCCCACTGAATTACTGAATTACACTGGCTTACACTGCTCACAAGTGGTGGGTCCAAGGGTTAAACTCAACAATCACTATTCTTAAGCAGCTCTCTTAACCACTTAACACCTCTTAATGGTAATACCCCCCAATATGAAGAAAGCTTATTCACTTGGGGTGGTCTAATTCTGTGTATTTTCATGTGAAAAAAAAATACCCCTTCCTCCAAACTAATGTATATGTTGTCCTCTGTCCCAGTGTCATGATGATCATCATTTATACTTTCAACCCCCAACTATCTGTTGGCCCTTCCTTCTTTCCAATTTTCCACACTGTATCCAACCGAAAACATTGCACAATGGTTCATTGGCTCATTAGTGGTCTGTGGTTAATTTCGGTTAGACATCAGTGGGAGTCAGATAGCAAGAGGTTTGGCAAGTGAAGGGGTTGGGTTAGTTTGGTTCTACTTTGTCTTTCTCTGAGACCCATAATTCATGATCCAGAATAATGATTAATCTTCGGCCTGGCTTGTTGGCCATGATTGTCTTTGAGGCCGAGCATGAGGCTGAGGTCAGGGAGTGTGGCTTTTCCTCTTTCAGGGCAGATGTGGGAGGGAGCTACAAAAAGACGGGGGTGGGGGGAGGCAATGGCTGGTGTGTGCTTAGTGTGCACCAGTCTAGCTACTTTACATAAATTATTTCTGATCTTCACAGTAACCTTTTGAGATGGGAAGCATTCTGATGATCTTAGTAGGAAACCGGGTGGCCTTCATTGTAGAAAAATGCCCACATTCACGCTGCTCTAAATGACAGAACAAGAATTCATTTCAGGTTCACCTGAAATGAAAGTCTGCTCTCTGCCCTCCAAGGGCTGGGAGTTTACCTGGGGTAAGGAGTTCTGGGATTATAAGCTCCTTGCACATACTTTCTGATAATGAAACTATCCTTTTGTGAGTGATCACTAGGTGCCAGGCTCTTTGCTGAGCACCTTCCGTGTGTTATCTAAATTAATTCCTCACAACTCTATGAAATATGTACTGTTGTTGCTTCTAATTTACAGAGAAGGAACAAGAGTCTTAGGAAGATTAAGAAGAAGTTTACCTGGGATTGGACACCAGGATATCTGGTCACAGACATCTTACTCCCATCTCTCAAGGGCCCTTTATAGGCCTAGCACAAACTAGATGGTTTTTTTTTTACCACCTTGTCACCGTTTCTCTCGAAGGTATATGTCGTTGTGTGTATATAAGTATTTATGTAGTGCTTATTAAATGTCAGGCACTGTTTAAACCTTGGGTGGGGATTTCTTAGTTTAATCTTCACAACAATCCTGGGAAGTAGTTATCACTATCGTCCCTGTTTTACAGATAAGGAAAATCAGGCACGGTGTGGGTCAATCATTTGCCCAATGTCACACAGCTATCAAGCGGCAGGGTTCTCTGCAGAGACCATGCTTCCATGCTCACTGAGCTCAGCTGCCCGTTATCATTCATACTGTTGCCAGAGCTCTGTTCCTAACACTTGGATCCAGTCTTGTCCATCCCCATCTTAAAGACCGGCAATTTCCCATTATTTATGACACAAATTCAAAAACATTTTGCTCAGCACTCAAGGCTCTTCGCAATTCGGCTCTCTCTTGCCATTCTGCCTTCATTTCTCCTTTTGATTAGCTTGCTCCATCTACTCTAGATCAATTGCCACCCTTAAACTAGCCTGGCCAATCGTATTCAATGACTCATGATTTTCTTCTCAGACTGGGAGTTTCTTCTTTGCTTTTCAAAATCCAAATCAATGTTCAAATTCTCTTAATAACTCTCTTCTCACTAAGCTTTCCTTGTCTCCTCTTCACAGAGCGATACTTTTTGCCTTCTGGACTTACGTACCCCTACATACTATCATGTCTTTCACTCTGTCCTGCTATTATTCTGTGGTGTTTGTTCTTCTCCCATTCAGATGAGACCCTGGATCCCTTTAAGTCAAGGGCTGTGTCTTATTGACATCCCCTAACAGTTCCTTGTATTTCGTGCAGATCATTGGCATTTGTGAACACTGCTGAATGAGTAAATGTATGTGTAAGTGAATGGAAGTGTTGAACATGTTTTAAGCTTTGAGGGAAAAACAGTAGAACTTTTAAGTGCTGTGGAACTAGATGAACTTTCAGAGTTAATCAAAATTATCTCTGTGTTGCATGCATTTTTCAGATAAGAGTACAGCAATATTTTCTGGTTTCCATAGAACCAGCACATCAGAGTTGCTAACTTGTTCAACAAGACTTTGATGCAAAGGTTGTTCCTTAGTTGGAGAGATGAATAAAGTTGGTCTTCTGATGTTAGGTGGAGATAGAGAGCACTGTTTTTTCAAACTTTGTTTTAAAAATATAACTCAAGAAGTTGATACTACATTTTAACCCCATGATTTTTTGTTACCCTCCTTTCTAGCTGCCTTACTACCAGTGTAGGATTTATCTTTGGATCCAATTTAAGAGTAGCAGAGGCAAATGCTTTCTGTTAATGCTTTAAGCCATAACTAACTCTTACCACTCTTAGGAAACACCCTATATATTTCTTGGCTCCTTGCCTTTGCTCTGTCCAAGTGTTCATTTCCCTGCCATGTCCCCACCCATCATCTCATGCCCAAATTCTTAGTCACAGAGGTCCATCTAAAATGTTCCACTCTCCATAAACTGTCTAGAGAAAAATTAATCTACCCCTCTCCCACCAAAACATGGTGTTTTTGTAATTATAATAACATTAATCATGTTTTCTTACTTCTCTCCTAGTGGCTTGTGAGCTGATTGCAAGTGGGGATCCTGGCATTTAGTGTCATGTTACCCCACTTTCTCCAAGCTGTCCTAGCTTCCATCCAGCTCTCTTAGCATGCCAAACTCTTCCCAATGTTAGGGCTTTAGAGTTTTGAATTTCTCTGCCTGTGTGTTAGACACCTAGGGGAAACCACAATTTCTTTTCTCTTTTACTCAGAATATGCCTACTAAGTAAGAGACTACATTTCTTACTTGGCTTTCATCTAGGTGTGGCCATATTACAAAACCATCTGGCACCAACAGGATATGAGTGTAAGTAATTATCTCCAACATATGGAGAAGGCACTGATATTATCATTATCCCACTTCACAGGGAAGATATAGTCTCACAGAGGTTCAGTAACTCCGTTAATTAAAGGCTTATACTTTCAAGGTGAGACTTTTCTATGCTCATGTATCATGTATCTGTTGTGAGTTTGGTTTGCAAGAGTTGTAGGATATCTGTAATTGCCATCCAGATCCTAGTGAATGATGACCACACCAAGGCAGGCCAGTTAGTTCCATGATAGCCTATCTGAATACCTGAACATCCAGCCAAACTTCCTGTACAAGCGAAACGTTCCAGTCATCTGTTTAAAGAAGTTCTTCAAGATGGCCATCTCCCCTTCCTTCCTGCTGGCTGGAAGCAACTGTAGAAGTCACAAGGAGGATGACAGAACTGCCTTTCTCAGCCTGGATCCCTAGATGACTTTACAGAGCAGAGCTTGACTGCCAACGCTGGACTGTTATGTGAAAGAGAAATAAACTTTTGTTTTGTTTAGCCATTAAATTTCAGAATCTATGTATTAACCATTACCGCCAACTAATATGCCCCAGAACCCAGAATACCAGTAGTAAATCCTACTGGTATTTCAGGTCTCTGCTTAAATACTCCTTTCTCAAAGAGGTCTTTCCCAGCCTCTCAATAAACAGTTTTCCCTTATATGTCCTATCTTTTGATCCAGCTCTTTTCTAGTAGAAAGATCAGTGTCATCTAGAGCCCTCTTTATTGATGTGGATTGTTGATCTCAGTGACATTGAGATATGATATTCAATGATATTCACTGTGGGTTTTTCATAGATGGCTTTTATGATATTGAGGTATGTACCCTCTATCCCTATACTCTGAAGAGTTTTGATCAAGAAAGGATGCTGTACTTTGTCAAATGCTTTTTCTGCATCTATTGAGAGGATCATATGACTCTTGTTCTTTCTTTTGTTAATGTATTGTATCACGTTGATTGATTTGCGGATGTTGAACCAACCTTGCAGCCCAGGGATAAATCCCACTTGGTCGTGGTGAATAATCCTTTTAATGTACTGTTGGATCCTATTGGCTAGTATTTTAGTGAGAATTTTGGCATCCATGTTCATCAAGGATATTGGTCTGTAATTCTCCTTTTGGATGGGGTCTTTGTCTGGTTTTGGGATCAAGGTAATGGTGGCCTCATAAAATGAGTTTGGAAGTTTTCCTTCCATTTCTATTTTTGGGAACAGTTTCAGAAGAATAGGTATTAATTCTTCTTTAAATGTTTGATAGAATTCCCCTGGGAAGCCATCTGGCCCTGGGCTTTTGTTTGTTGGGAGATTTTTGATGACTGCTTCAATTTCCTTAGGGGTTATAGGTCTGTTCAGGTTTTCTATTTCTTCCTGATTCAGTTTTGGTAGTTGATACATCTCTAGGAATGCACCCATATCTTCCAGGTTATCTAATTTGCTGGCATAGAGTTGCTCATAATATATTCTTATAATTGTTTGTATTTCTTGGGTGTTGGTTGTGATCTGTCCTCTTTCATTCATGATTTTGTTGATTTGGGTCATTTCTCTTTTCTTTTTGATAAGTCTGGGCAGCGGTTTATCAATTTTGTTAATTCTTTCAAAGAACCAGCTCCTAGTCTCGTTGATCTGTTCTACTGTTCTTTTGGTTCCTGTTTCATTGATTTCTGCCCTGATCTTTATTATTTCTCTTCTCCTGCTGGGTTTAGGCTTTATTTGCTGTTCTTTCTCTAGCTCCTTTAGGTGTAGGGTTAGGTTGTGTATTTGAGACCTTTCTTGTTTCTTGAGAAAGGCTTGTATTGCTATATACTTTCCTCTCAGGACTGCCTTTGCTGTATCCCAAAGATTTTGAACAGTTGTGTGTTCATTTTCATTGGTTTCCATGAATTTTTTTAATTCTTCTTTAATTTCCTGGTTGACCCATTCATTCTTTAGTAGGATGCTCTTTAGCCTCCATGTATTTGAGTTCTTTCCGACTTTCCTCTTGTGATTGAGTTCTAGTTTCAAAGCATTGTGGTCTGAAAATATGCAGGGAATAATCCCAATCTTTTGGTATCAGTTGAGACCTGATTTGTGACCTAGGATGTGATCCATTCTGGAGAATGTTCCATGGGCACTAGAGAAGAATGTGTATTCTGTTGCTTTGGGATGGAATGTTCTGAATACATCTGTGAAGTACATTTGGTCCAGTATGTCATTTAAAGTCTTTATTTCCTTGTTGATCTTTTGCTTAGATGATCTGTCCATTTCAGTCAGGGGGGTGTTAAAGTCCCCCACTATTATTGTATTGTTGTCAATGTGTTTCTTTGCTTTTGTTATTAATTGCCTTATAAAAGTGGCTGCTCCCATGTTAGGGGCATAGATATTTACAATTGTTAGATCTTCTTGTTGGATAGACCCTTTAAGTAAGATATAGTGTCCTTCTTCATCTCTTATTACAGTCTTTGTTTTAAAATCTAATTTGTCTGATATAAGAATTGCCACCCCAGCTTTCTTTTGGTGTCCATTAGCATGGTAAATGGGTTTCCACCCCCTCACTTTCAATCTGGGGGTGTCTTTGGGTCTAAAATGAGTCTCTTGCAGACAGCATATTGATGGGTCTTGTTTTTTAATCCAATCTGATAGCCTGTGTCTTTTGATTGGGGCATTTAGCCCATTTACATTCAGGGTAACTATTGAAAGATAGGAATTTAGTGCCATTGTATTGCCTGTAAGGTGACTGTGACTGTAAATTGTCTGTGTTCCTTTCTGATCTATGCTGCTTTTAGGCTCTCTCTTTGCTTAGAGGACCCCTTTCAATATTTCTTGGAGGGCTGGTTTCGTGTTTGCAAATTCCTTTAGTTTTTGTTTGTCCTGGAAGGTTTTTACCTCTCCTTCTATTTTCAATGACAGCCTTGCTGGATATAGTATTCTTGGCTGCATATTTTTCTCGTTTAGTGCTCTAAAGATATCATGCCAGTCCTTTCTGGCCTGCCAGGTCTCTGTGGATAGGTCTGTTGCCAATCTTATGTTTCTACCATTGTAGGTTACATATCTCTTCTCCCGAGCTGCTTTCAGGATTTTCTCTTTGTCTCTGAGACTTGTAAGTTTTACTATTAGATGTCGGGGTGTTGACCTATTTTTATTGATTTTGAGAGGGGTTCTCTGTGCCTCCTGGATTTTGATGCCTGTTTCCTTCCCCACATTAGGGAAGTTCTCTGCTAAAATTTGCTCCAATATACCTTCTGCCCCTCTCTCTCTTTCTTCTTCCTCTGGGATCCCAATTATTCTGTTTCGTCTTATCATATCGCTTATCTCTCGAATTCTGCCCTCGTGATCCTGTAGTTGTTTATCTCTCTTTTTCTCAGCCTCTTTATTTTCCATCATTTGGTCTTCTGTATCGCTGATTCTCTCTTCTGCCTCATTTATCCTAGCAGTTAGTGCCCCCATTTTTTATTGCCCCTCATTAACAGCCTTTTTGATTTCGACTTGGTTAGATTTTAGTTCTTTTATTTCTCCAGAAAGGGTTTCTCTAATAACTTCCACGCTTTTTTCAAGCCCAGCTAGTATCTTCCACGCTTTTTTCAAGCCCATGATTCTGAACTCTAGGTCCGACATCGTACTAATGTCCGTATTGAGTAGGTCCCTGGCAGACGGTACTACTTGTTCTTTTTGCTGAGGTGATTTTTTTCATCTTGTCATTTTGTTCAGAGGAGAACAGATAAATGAGAGAACAAAATGCTAACAGGTTAACAACGTCCCCAGCAAATATACTCTATACAAATCAGAAAAGACCTGAAACCAGGAGAAAAGAAAGGGAAAGAAAGAAAAAAGAAAGAGAAAAAAAAGAAAAAGATAAAGATAAAAACAAACAAAAACGGAACAAAACAACAACAAAAAAACCAGAATATGATCAAATATGATCAGGCTAGTGCCTAGATCAGTGCCACACACTAGATTTTGGGTGTATTTGGTCTGTTAGAAGAAAGTGCCTCCCAAAATTTTAAAGGAAGAAAGACTTATATATGTACAAAATAAGGGTTGATACCATGAAGGGATGGAAGATGACTGTAAAGATGAAACTTATAAAAGCTTTTATAAACGGAATTGTTAAGAAGTTGTTTGAAAGAAGAAGGAAGAAGATTTAAAAAAAGAAAAAAGAAAAGAAAAAAAAATGGGAGAGACTGTGATCAGGCAGGAGACTAGAACAAAGCCATACACTAGTGATTTAGGGTATATTTTGATCTGTTAGAAGAAACTGTATCTCAAAATTTTAAAGAGAGAAGAACATATATATATGCCAAAAATAAGGGTAACTACTATGAAGGGATAAAATATGACTCTAAAAATGAAAAATAAAAAATGTTTTTTTAAAAAAGGAATTGATAAGATGTTGGTTGAAAAAGGGAAAAAGAAAAATTCAAAAAAAAACCCCACAAAAAACAGTTAAAAAAATTAACTTTGAAAAACTAATGAATCATGGTAAAAAAGCCATGAATTCTATGTTCAGTATTCCCCTAGCGCTGGAGTTCTCCCGTTCTCCTTCATCGGTAAACTTGGTCTTGGCTTGCTGGCTGTTCTTGCTGATCTTCTGGGGGAGGGGCCTGTTGCCGTGGTTCCCAAATGTCTTTGCCGGAGGCGGAATTGCCCCGCCCTTGTGGGTCCGGGCTAAGCAAGCTGCTCGGGTTTGCTCTCAGGAGCTTGTGTTCCCTGCAAGCTCTCGGTACAGCTTTGGAGGACCAGGGTGAAAATGGTGGCCTCCCACTCTCTGCCGGGAGGAGCTGGGAACTCGGGGCCCTGCTCCTCAGTGCGCCCCCAGAGAAAAGCAGTCAATCACTCCTGTCTCCCCGGTCTCCGGCCGCACTCCGTGCTCATCCGGCCTGTGACCGATTGTTTCTATCTCTGGCACCCGACCCCGTGTGGAGTCTCCAAACCCAGCAGATCCCTGCGGAGCGCTCCTGCGCCGCTCCTCCCAGGGGAAGGAGGGGAGTCTCCCCGGCTCTGCCACTTGCTGGGTCCCTGCTGGAGGCGCAGTGGCCTGACTGGCCCGCGGATCACAGTTTATGGCCACCCCGAGCTGCGAGTCCGCCTCTCGGCTCTGTCTCTGCATCCGGCTTCCCCGCTCCGATACCTGGGAGCTCTGCCGCACTCAGGCACCCCCGGTCTTTCTGTGACCCCGAGGGTCCTGAGACCACACTGTCCCGCGAGGGTTCCACCCCCTGCTTAGCCACTGGAGCGACGTCCCTCAGTGGAGCCGACTTCTAAAAGTTCCGATTTTGTGCTCCGCGGCTCTATCACTTGCCAGAAGCGGCCGATGGAGGCCCCCTCCCGCGCCGTCTATCCTCCCGAATTTCGCCTCAGATTCACTTCTCCGCATGTCCTACCTTCCAGAAAGTGGTCGCTTCTCTGTTCAGAGAGTTGTTGCTACTCTCTTCTTCGATCTCCTGTTGAGTTCATAGGTGTTCAGAATGGTTTGATCCCTATTCAGCTGAATTCCTGAGACCAGACGAAATCCAGGTCTCCTACTCCTCCGTCATCTTGCTCCGCCCCCCAAAACAGGATCTTTTCTG